TTACCATTATAGTTAAGGACAGAAAATGACAGATAGACTAGCAAATGCTTAACTTATGTGCATTGCATTAGAACGTAGACATTGGGTTCGAAAGGATACTACTAAACACTTTACCTTGCCTAGCAACCCTATGCAACCCCAGCTGATTCCGGCACGACCGGCAACTCACACCACTCTTGGCTACCGTAACGAATGCTGTTTTATATGACAAATGCGTACCAAGTCAAGACTGACAGCTTCAAAGCAATAAATTCTGCAACAAGCGTTTTTTTCCCCCATTTCTTGAGTCATAGAAGTATTAGCGCCCCAATGGAAGAGGAAGAAAAAGAAGAAAAATAAGTTGGATGCAAACGGCACTAGGTAGAATAGATGGTAGGTTTTGCTTAAAAATTTCCTTTTTGGCTAAACTAAACCGGAAATGGTTGTCAACTGAATAAGAATACAAAATGTAATAGTGGAGCATTTTTTTTAATCAAATTGCAGAAATATCTTTGGATCTTTGACTGCTAACCGTTTTTGGTAAATGTCTATCGTTGTGGGTAACATAGAAAAATTAAAAGTGACTTACAAAAAATTGGATTCTAAATTTCTGTTTAGCAAATAGTGTTGTCTAGAATTATCTTAATTTTCTTTTTTTTTTTAAATGAGGATAGAATACCTTAGATGTTTTACTGAGAAATCACAGTGTATTTTTATAAATATGGATTTTCTTTAAACAAATCATTTTGACTTTTAACATTACAAATGTAAATTTATGTATCACGAGACTATCGTACATTTTTATAGTAATAAATAAATTTCTAATTAAAAATTACTTAATACAAATTATGGTATTTTTCATCTCAGCGTTTCCTTCATTTCCATTATTTTATTTTTCCGCAGATGTTATACTAAACTTTTACAATTGTTTATATTAATATTAAGGGTTATCCATTTCATAGTCCTTATTTCATAAAACTGTTTCAGCGACATATATCAGAACTCTCAACCAGTGGCATTGGTTTAATATACGTTACGTTGACAATGTAAATCGTTTATCAACCGCTGAACATCTTAAAAAAGCGAAAACTTACTATAAAAATGATGACAATTCTTAGGTACAATTTTTTTTTCAGTAATGGAATTTATTTACTGCCCAGTAAATACGGATATCATTGCATCTAAAATAGTCAAAATTCATAAGAAATTGTCAAAAGAACCAGCTATGTGCCATTGGAATATCAACAAGAGGGTTCAGTCCTTTAAGATTGACGATATTAGGCAAAGGATTTTTTATATATATAAAATAACCAATTGTCAAGTCATGGCCAAGCTATTGCCAGCTATATGCCGATGAATTATCGACAATTTTATCAAAAAAAAAAACAGTACTGAAGATATTCCATGGACCATACTTGAATAATGTTGTTTATCACACCTTCTGTTAAAGTCCAAATAATATATTAAAATAAAAATTTTAATAAAATCTCAATGGCAAGTTTGTTTACGTTCAGAACCGCAAAAAAGTTTACTTTAAAGCTATAACTTTATATTTACTAATTAGAAGGGTTCGAATATAAATAAAAACCTGACACTTGCAGTCCAAACAAATTATATACGGACACTTTTTGATAAATAATTCAACGTTTGTTTAATATTTTTTAATAAATTCTATATTTCGACTCTCCTTGAAAGTCAACATCAGGATAAGGGTCTAACATAAATTAATATTACTAAAACTATATCTATGTCATCATCTTTATTCTATTGTCTCAAGGAAAATCGAAATATAGAATATATTAAAAAATATTAAATAAACGTTGAATTATTTAACAAAATATGACCTATAGCCAGAGAAAAAAAATATGTATAAAAACCATTATAAAAAACTAGGTCCATAAATAAATTCAAAATTGTATTATATGCGATTATTATATATATAAATATATATATAAACTAATTAAAAAATTTGAACATTTGACCTGATGATCACTGATGCTGAGTACTTGGCAATACTCGAAACAGCGTTGTATGGTCAGTCAAAATTTAATAAATTAACTAAAAGTTTTTGTTGTTACCTTTTCATTTCTGTTCGAACCCTTCTAATTATTAGATAAAAAAAATTAACATTTAATATTTATTATTTCATTTTATTTCATATAATTTTTTTGTATTATTACTTTTTTAAACCATTTAAATACACATACATATATATATTATATCTATATATATATATCTATATCAGTAAATAATTTAATTTAAATTCGTTTTATATGAAATTCTCATGCAATATTCCTTTAAATAGAGAGATCCTTTAAATTTTTGTGCTTTAAGAATTACGTTTTGTCCTGGAGTGCGAGCACCTTTATCTGGAATTTAACACAGAATTTTAAGTTCCTTCATGTGCTATTTTTATGCCTGCTCCCAGCTACCAAAAAGAGTACCAGGCCCACACAGGCCCTCCTTCCCTGCCGACTCCACTTCATCGCATTGTGCCATGCCAGAATGTGTGAGTTTATTTTGCTGTTGGCAGTGCAAATAAATATAAATAAAGATTTATACTTTCTTTCACTGGACAGGACACACGCCAGCCAGTTCGCAAGGCAGTGAGTGGGTCAGTGCATGGGAAGCGAGTGAATTTATTGTTTTACTTAGCATGGAAGATGAAGTTGAATAATTTCTCTTTGCTTTTATTGTTAATATTTCTTTTATTATTTAATAAAAATTGCCACATTTGCCGGCAAAAACGTAAAGACTATATATACTTTAAGAATTTTCATGAATTTAAGTGCTCTTATGAGGAAATGGAATGGATTCAAATGGATTCAAAATGCGATATTTGCGATATTTTAAGAAAATATTTGGAAATATGTTAAATATTTATTTATTTTAATTGTTAATTTAATAGAAAATACATGTTTAGCATTTAAAGAATTAAAATTATTCATTTTAAGATTATTGTAAATACTTTCTGATACAATTAAATAATAAGAAAATATAAATAAGAGCAAAATTTCAGAATAATATGCAAATACCAGAAATATTCGACATATTAAAATATATTAAACGATATCTGTCGTATATATAGCAATAGAAGAGAGGACAGTTACAAGAATTGTATTATTAGAGCTATCTGTTATCCTTAGAATACGTATATTAACTATTTTTAAGTCAAATTATTTTACTATTGTTTCACTATAAATTAAAAATATTTTTATGTAAACTACAGTAAATATGGTAGTAGAAATAGGAATAAACGAGGTACCAGCTCCCAATAGACCATAATTGATATTTTGTGCTAAAACAAACCCTAACCGAACAGAAGACACACCGCCTTCTGCATGAGAATGAAAGTAGAGTAATTCTCGATCCAGTGGCATCCTCCTGGCCCAGATTAAGGCTGGACAGTTACAGCGAATGTGATTGGAAGTCTCATCTGCTTCTTAGCAGAGTCGAATAAATAGTAATTCAAGGTAATTTATAATCAATTATTTTACAATTTAATAACTATAAAATAAAAATTTATAGAACCCGATTCTATTGGAGTACCCGACTCGATAAGTAACATTGCAACGCTTACTATGATGATCCCTCCAATAAACTATTATTTAGCAAAAACTAACCAACCAAAAAGTTGAAATAGTTTTAAACACTGAAGAAATAAATTATTTTAATTTTATTTATTTGTAAAAATTATTCTGACTTAAAATTTTTAATATAAAAATGAAAGTTTTTTCTAGTATAGATATCTTTTTATAAAGATATACTAGCTAGAAATTGCGCAAAGCCAGGCTCTGAGAAGTCTTTTCAACGTACCATGGTACATTAGGACGAATGACATCCTCAGGGAACTCAAGATTGACCCGATCAAAAAATATGAAAAGGATAGAGCCCTGAAATTATTTACGAAAATTGACAGGCTTACCAACATCGTGTTATCGAATCTCAGAATAATTACAGGCTTCATGAGGAGGTATGCAGATCTAAGGTCAATTATTGTTTAATCTGATGAAGTAATAAACAATAATCCAGTCAAGGCGTTGAAAGTAGAAACCTCACAGTTAATAGTGAGTAAAAGTGCTTTAAATTGACTTAAATGAAGGATTCTCAGATATCCGAATCTGGGGTTTAGTTTGAGAACATTTAATTTTAATTTGAGGCTCTAAAAAGTTAAGGAATATGTAAAATGAATGTATCTCTCTTAAATGAGGATATTTCAATAAAAAAGGCCGAATTTTAAAGAAAAAAAATAATCACGTTTTAATATATAAAACGAGCACTTACTGAATAATGTGTTATTATGACTTGACTAAGATTATGTAAATGCCAGTTTTTTTAAATTCCAAAAACAAAATATTATGAGATTTCTAAGAAGATTTTCAAATATTTTTTTTTTAGTTAGATAATATGGATACGTTAATAATTTTTCTTCAATAAAAAGTGTTAGGAAAATAAATGCAACTAATGATTCTGGACTAATAGTGGACTATAGTATAGTGTAAATAAAAGAGGAAAATTATTTCAAGACATGAAGAGAACTACAAGAAATCAATGGCTAGAATTATCTGTCATTGAAGTTAGTAATTCCGCCAATAAATTCGCGAGCATTATTGAGGACCAACTTTTGAACTATAGTAATTGCACGGGAGCATCCATGCTAACTGTAAGTATGGATGTGGTTGATAATTTCCACATTCCCTTCAAACTTTCCTGTGAATTTGATGTTATTAAATACAAAATCATAAAGAGATATCACAAATCAGAGACTACTATTATTTAGCAAAAACTAACCAACCAAGAAGTTGAAATAGTTTTAAGCATTAAAGAAATAAATTATTTTAATTTTATATATTTGTAAAAATTATTCTGACTGAAAATTTTTAATATAAAAATGAAAGTTTTTTCAAGTATAGATATCTTTTTATAAAGATATACTAGCTAGAAATTGCACAAAGCCAGGCTCTGAGAAGTCTAAGTCTATATACTAAATTATTTATATATATATAAAAACTACTCCTTACCTTTTGTGCTTTGCAAGTGGCGCCAATTGGTTGTACCTCATGTCCTTGATGACGTAGTTCAGCCATACATTTTCCGCAAGCTGGTATTTTACAATTTAAGCAATAAACTGTTAATGACTCTGCATGTTCACCGCAAACGGATTCTCTTTGCTGTGCAGCGCCACGTGGCTTAACCAAATTATGCTTGGCCAGCGGTCCACGCGCCGGATGACAGAGCTCACGACATGCATCGCAATAGCGTATTTCACACTGTTCACAGACCAATGAAGCGACCTTCGGATCAGTTTCACACATCTGACAACGTAATGCTTCACGTGCACAAAAACGATCGACAATCGATTCCATGGCGCGATATGGTGGTAAATTACGTACGCCGCCCTCGTCAAAGAACACCAACTTACGACAGAGTGGACAAGTAAGACAGAAAGCAGCACCGGGTGGTGCTACAGCAGCGCCCTGCAATAAACCTTGCAAATGTGCAGTCCCGGCGTAAGAGACCGGACGTGAAGTATTCGAACAACAGACCACACCTGAATCGGCTTCACTCAATATGCTAACCTTATCGGCCTGATCCTGATCGGATGTAACACTTTCGCTACCAGTAGCCGAGCTAGCAGTGCTCGCAGCTGAACTATTTGATGAATGTCTGGTCGATGGTGGATGATGTGCCGGACCGTGTGTATGATGTGCTCCCGAATGCGAAGTGCCAGTACTGTGTACATGCAGTGTGGTATGTACGGCATGCAAAGCACAACCAGCAGCGCTATTACCATTCGGTACTGGCGGCAATACTCCGGCACCGGCGTTAACTGCTGCTGCTAAAGCGACGCCTGGTATGTACGCTGTCTGTATGTCAAGTGCACAGCCCAAACAGAGGGCGTGGAAGCACGGCAATAAAACTGGATTAGCAAAAAGCTGTTTGCATGTCGGGCAACGTAATTCGTCCTCCATAATAAAATGTAGAACTTCCGCACAAAGCCTTGAATTTAATTTGTTCTCTGTGTTAATTTCCTTTTATATTAATTACTTTTATTAAAATTTCAATTAATATTTTATGCTTATTAAATTGAAATTTCCTAACATTTTACTTTTTTTCTGCTATTTTTACGTATTGAAAGTTCAGAGCAAATTTAGAGCAAGGTTTCGAGCTAGGTTTAGAGCATTTTAACTATAAACACAATAACTCATTGCAAAATGAGTTTATTACAATTTTTAATTTAATTTTTATAAATTTTTAATTTATGTATTTTTAATTGTTGCAAATTATTTTCCGTTGCCGTTGCCGTTGCCGTTTTCGCACTTCACACTTCCTTCCGCCTGCTAAATTAGCCAGAAATATTTTCAGTCCAAATACGCCGAACTCCTTTTAATGTTTTAATGTTTTATTTATATTAAAATTTTTGCTGGAATTGTTAATTTTTGACTTGTGACACAAGCTTCCGGTAAAGGGGTTAACCACTTCCTTTCTATTATTTTTGTTTGTTTTTTTTTGTTTTTGTTAAATTTTTGGTGAAGTTTTTGCTTAAAACACAGAATTCAAAATATTTTAAAATTTTTAGCAAAATTTTTAATTTCCTTGCAGGATATTTTTTCACTTCCGCTTAGCACAAAACTCACTTCCGCTTTTCATTAGCTGTGAAAATTTTTACGTTTCTTTATTTTTATTTTTTAATTGAGTCCAAACTTTTCAAAGAGAACTTTTTTTGGTTTTGGTTAAATGTTGTTTTCACATGTAATTTATTCACATTTTGGGATTAACCGCAAAGTGTCAACCTTTGGCAAAATTTATGAGACAACAAGTGTCGCTCTTCGACTTCGACTTCGGCGATATTTTCAGTTTTTGGTTACCGCCACCGAAAAAAGTTCCCAAACTCAAATCCGGAGAATGTCACGATTTCCTGGTTGCTACTGGTTCCTAAAATGGATTTTGCCTACTAAGAGCTCTGTTCGTTGTTTTGCTGGGTAACACGTTAATCCTTTTTAAATCCTCAAATGAAAGGCGGGCGAACGTTTAACGACTGTTTACCGCTGTGATTTACTGCGGTAATTGAAATTTCAAATATTTAAACACTTCCCGATTGCTTTGTTTAGGAAACAACAACAAAATTCACACAAGTTTGTTTTTTTTATTATTATTATTTGTAACTTTAATAATTTTTTTTTTTATTTTTGTAACTTTAATAATTTTTATTTATTTTCTCGAAACGTTAATAATCTTTTTTTATTATTTTTTTTGAAACGTTAATAGTTTTTGTTTATATTTGTAATGTTAATAATTTTTATTTATTTCTTTAACGTTAATAATTTTTTTTATTTTGTTTATAACGTTAATAATTGCTTTTAAAAATTTAATTTTAATAGATTTAATTTTGTAGATTAACTGTATTTTTCAGCGATTTTATAAAACCAATTTTAATGTGCAAAAGTGGCTGTTAATTTATGGCCACTTTATCCAAAAAAAAATTTCATAAAATTCAATATTTCTATAAATTAATTTTTTTTTCAGAATTTTAATTTTTAAATTTTTTCACAAATTTTTGTCATATTATTTTGACGATTGCACTTCACTTTAAGTTTTTGTTGATTATCATCAAAATTTTATCAAAACAAACAACAGAAGATTTGCTTCTCTCGCTGAACCACCAATGCCGCTGACGCAACTAACTAACACGCTGGTTCGACGTCGACTGAATTCTGCGATTGGCTGCGTTTGTCTGTTTTGATAAAAATTTTTAGCTGAAATGATATGCAACATGCAACATGTTTGATGTGCGCCGAACACAGTGGTGAAAATTATAAAATTACTTGTACATATATTTTTTTTATAACACAAATATTTTTATGTAATATTAAATTTTTATTTTATTTTATAAATTTGTTTTTTTTTTTTGAAATTAACTAATTAATTGTTAAATTAAACAATTAATTTAAAACATATAAAATTTTTTATATTATTTATCAAAAAGTATTTATTGTATTTCCACCAATATTTCGACTACAGTTCAAAGATATCTTCAAGGTACTATATTGTATATATGTATATTCATTATTCATTATAAAATATATATTTTGATATTAAATAGGATTATTATGTTACACACAACTTTTAATACAATCTACTACTTTTACCCATTCTAACTCAAAGCCTTTTAAAATATTTATAAAGTTTTCATAAGATAGAGTGGCTTTACCAAAGTAAGCTAATCGAAGCTTCAGGATATTATAGAATATAATTGACCAATTAATCTATTTCAAACGAAAAAAAGAAATAATAATAACAAATAAAAAATTTGTGATTAAAACAATGAATTATTTAATATTAAAATAATAAATAAATAATAAATAAATTTATAAATTTATGTTTGTATATTATAAATATATATATTAAAAATATATATATTATAGATATAAAATAATTCTTCTCACTCCATTACATCTTTTACTCAGAGCATATTTGAGTAGTAGTTAGCTTTATGTTAAAATTAAAGATTAAATATACAAAATATAAAGATATCTATTAATACAGATACTCCACAGGAAAGTGCTTTCGGACCCACTCTGTACAAAATACTTACGTTTAACATAAAGTACTCAAAAAGTATCACGATCTAACGTAAAATAGGTTCCAAGCTCATTTAAGGAAACGTTGGCTCAAACTTTCACTAATAAAAATTAACACCGTATAACATCTTTATTTTATATTAAAATTTATTTAACTTTATTAATTATTATATCTAATGTAGAGATCATACCAGCGTGCGATAGCTTCATTGGTCGTTTAAGGACTATAATTCTAGACAATATATCGAAATAAAAATTTTTGTGTAGAAAATTTTAATTAAATGTGTATTTTGTTTGCATTTATTTTCAGAACTACAATACGGATAAACATGTATACAGAAGCATTTCTATATTTTTTGCGACACTAACTCCAACAATCGATTTCAAATATCTATAATCTGAAATATCTATAATCTTCCTCTCGTCTTCAACCTTCGTTAAAATTATAGTTATTCAAGTTATTTTTATGTTTTACGAAATCTTAAGTATTTTTTTTCCAATGTTCAATATACTTCATATATATTATGGATCAGCTGACATCTTGAATTTATAAATTATATGGTATACTTTTTTCTTGAAAGTTAAGCAAAATATAAATATAGTACACAAATTTTTTTAATTTGTTCTTTAAATCAACTGAAAATATATTATAAATGTCAACAGATGTAGAAGATTTATGTGTTGTAAAGACTCAAGTATATCTTATATTAACACCAATAGGCTGTGAGGACCAACCTACAATCGAATTATAATTAGATTACGTATTCCTTATATACCAGATTTTAACTTTATTTGCTAAAGAAATTAGTGATTTTAAAAACCTTTGATATAGCTCATATAACATTAACATATTTTTAGTTTCAATTAGGGTTATTCATCTTGTGGTTTTAACTTGGTAGCCCTGTTTTAGTGACATAGGTATATCATAAAGAATGGTGAACCAAGACAACGTATATTTAATTTAATTTACGAGATTCTAAAAATGAACCGCTAAATGCGATCAATATGTAAAAATTGAATATAACAATTTGGACTATTTCCTTCATAGATGTGGTTCACTTTCCGCGTTTGATGGATATGTCAAATTGTGCCAGTTGGGATAGCGCTGGAGACAAAATTAATTGTCGAAAAATCAACAAAAGCCAGTCAGTGAAGGATGCGGCATTTGGTGTGCAGGTGTGTTAGGTCTGTATTATTTTTAAATGAATTTAAAGATGAAAAAACTATGAAATGAAATCAATATCCTTCTCAAGCAAAAGTTCTTTAATTATAAATCCAAAGTCTATATTTTAAATTACGTGATGTGATATCGCGTATTGATATTAAGTATTAAATTGTATGAGGAACGCTTGTCAAAACTAGAATGTATTTCTGAAATTAATTAAATTAACATTTACAATTAAGCCAAATAAGAATAATTACCAAATAAGAACCGTAAATAAAGTCATGTAAGAAAATCTAAAAGTAATAATTAGATGATTCAAGTGATCCATTAGATGTATTTGTATTTGCTAAATATTGCTTGCCTAGTGGTTTCAGGTTCAAAAATATTTTTTTTCTATTTTATTACAATTAATTAGAAAAAATTAAATCTTATACCATAACTAATTTTTGAAAAACGAGCGCTAGCTGCTAAGGACTACGGTTCGTCAAAAATATTGGATTGGTCTTACTCTTAGGTAACCGAACAAGAATATTGTTCAACAGTTATTGCAGAAAAACTAGCAAGGTTATTAGTATGTCAAATTTTACACAGTTGATGGTGTCTGCGTGTTTTCTAATACCGATCTGTGTACTCCAACTACTCGCATTATTGATCTAGCTGGATTGGTCTAGCCTTAAAAAGACTATAGAACAATAATGTCTGTAAGGTATTGAAATATAATCTGCATAGTTTTTGACACAACCAAATTTTTATATTTCCTGACTTCAAAGTAATTTGTAGTACTGATCAGTAGTCTCGAACCAGTCACTTTAAAATAACAGCAGCGGCACAAAAATGTAAATGGAGCTTGATTGGTATTACGCTTCGAAAACTAAACATGAATATTGTTTGGAAGGCATTATAGTAAAATCTTCTTGATATGTAGAATTTCACGTATCTATAAACTCTTTCCTCAATGTATAAAAAAATGAGAAAAATAAAAGAAGATATATAATTTCTTCTCGTTAAACATTTATTTCTTACAAAAAAAAATTAAAACGGAATTCATAATATTAAATTTTTTCAAACACATTTTTTAAATTTTTGTTCGACAATTCACAGGCAAAGTACTTTTACAAATATTAAATAAAAATTGTTCATTTATACCTAAATAAAAACAAAATGAGAAACTCCTAATAGAAAATATAAAGATAATAGTTCCAGGTATATCTCTAGCTAATTTCAGACATTAATAAACGGAACGTCCTTTATCACCTTTCATATCACCCACCAAGCGTTCCGTAGAAGTTTCTGTCTCTTCGGTTTCGCCATCGCAAGATTTTTTCTCGACATTATCGGATGGGTCCTCAGAACATGATGACTTTTCGTTGGGACCTGGAAGGGCACATGAATCATTCGCATTTATTACTTCACGTTTGTGATCAGATACTGATACACCGTGTTCAGTCTTAGAATTATTCTTCTTATCACACTTTTGCTCTTTTTTGTAGGTCTGCATCACGTCCTCCTTCAATTGCATTTTCATGGTCTGCTGCTCTATTGGGGCATCACTACGAAGTTTTCCCAAATTATTGCGTAAGTAATAACTGCGTCTATCAGCACATTCCTGCGCACGCATGGTTGACTTATGTTGTAAGCGATTCAGAAAATTCAAATTTTTTTCATCCTTACGTTGGACAACTAACTCAACTTGTTTATTTGACTTCTGTGCCTTCTCGCGTATAACATCCATAAGACAACGACGCCTACCCTCAGCAATAGACATTTTCTGCTTAATTTCATTCGCAGAAAGTTGCTTACCAGATTGCATCAAACGTTTTGGCGCATAAGGAACCGCTGTGGCTTCAGCGATAATAATTTCAAAACCAACTCCATCTCTACGCGTTTGTTCATGACGCACTTCTAAGTTCTCAACTGGTTCTTCAGGTTTTTGTGATGATGTAGGAAGGGGTGTTTTGCTTTCAGTTGTGTTAATCTCAAAACCAACTTCATTTTTACCAGTTTGCTCATGGCAAACCTTTAAAACCTCAACTGGTTCTTTAGATTTATGTGCTGATGGAAGAGAAGATATGGTTGTCTTTGCTTTCAAAGCCTCAAATCCAATTCCATCTTTGTCAAAATCGTCATGACCAACCTCCGAGATCTGTACTGGTTCTTCAGATTTTTGTGGTGATATAGGAGGGGATGCTTCGGCTTCGGCTGGTATATTCTTAACATTTTCAATACAAGCAATCTGTTTTTCTACTGTGCAAGCGTCTTCTTGGTCCATGATTTTCTCAGTTATATTCTAAAGTGTCAACACACAATAGAGTTATCAGAAAAAGTGGCAAAACACAAGTGCTGAAAAAATATTTGAAATGAAAAATTTTGTTTTTATTTTTAATATAAAAAATTTACTTGATTTTCTACGCCTACTAAATATATACAATTTTTTATGATTTGTCGAATATATGAAATAAAATTCTATATTATAACAATATACAGGGTGTTTATATATGTAAGAGATGAATCTTTGTTCCACGAAATATGTGATATCTCAGATTTAATATTTTGTTTAAGCTTAACAACATCAACGCAAGAAATTGTACTAATTCTAATCTCTCTATCTCTTCTACCACAGAAAATGGAGAAATGGATCTACAATTTGAAACTGACATGTTTTTTTGACCGAACGTGAAAAAGCCTTTATGCGGTAATCTCTCAAATACAGACCGAAAGCTCTTTTTTATTAACTAATATCAATTAAAATATTATTGTGTAAATATTTTGTACGTCAGCCCTTACATATATGGCAGTTCTAACCCCATAAATAGACAACAACAAGACAAAACAACATCAAACATACATTAAGACTGAAAAGTTTTCGGAAATTCTCATTTAAAATTCGCGCGCTGTATATTTTTCGATATTTTAAGTTTATGTAGTTTGGCAGCACTGTCCTTAATTACTATGCCAAAAATGAGCTCGATCTGTCAGACAGTTCGTTTACGGCAGCTGTTGAAACCAGTTCACCTCAGTAGTGCGTTGCGAAATGTCTTCGACGGTCGTACGACCGTCCTGGAAGGCTTTGTACCACTCATAAACTTGAGTTTTCGATAAAACTGATTCCCCATAAGCCTTTTGTAGCATTCGCAACGATTCTGCACACGAAATTTCGTTCGAAACACAAAATTTGATGCAAACTCTTTGTTCAATATTTTTTTCCATTGTTTTTTTCGCAACGCCCTACTGAGGTGAACTGGTTTCAACAGCTGCCGTAAACGAACTGTCTGACAGATCGCGCTCATTTTTGGCATAGTAATTAAGGACAGTGCTGCCAAACTACATAAACTTAAAATATCGAAAAATATACAGCGCGCGAATTTTAAATGAGAATTTCCGAAAACTTTTCGGTCTTAATGTAAATGCAACGCGAACATTAAAACCGACTTTATACTAAACTCCTAACCAGACGATTTCGTATATTTGATTTATATTTGATATATCATATTCAAATTTACTCACGTGACAAGTCCTTATTTAATAACACTCTATACTTAATAAGTTTCTTCAAAGTTTTTATATATTATATTACATTAGATGTAAATATTGCAAATTGTTAGATAGTTAGTCATAAAAATTCTCGGGATATGCAATGAACTATCATATATAACAATTAATATTGGACGAAACGAGTACAAGTTTTAACACTTACTTACTGGTCCTTACTTCTTTACCGATTTTTTAATTCTCAACGGTACAGATCTAGGCGTAGGTCTTTGTTCTGGAATCCTTATCAAGTGTAATAATTTCAGAATGAAATTTTTGGTTTGAAATTACAAAATTGCATAGATGATTACTACTCGAAACACTTTTTTAAATAAAAAAAAACATTTTATTTCTTCACATAACTTTTTAAATAAATATTGACAATAAAATCTATGAAACCCGTTATTTTGAAACATTTTTAAATTAATCTATTATTACATATAGTGAATATGTATAAATGTCGAACCACTCTTGTGCCTTTTATTCAACGTCTATGATTCCATCGGTATGCTCTTCGCATTATTATTATTATTATTATTATTATTATTATTATTATTATTATTATTATTATTATTATTATTATTATTATAACTATAATAACTAGTATTACTATTTATATTACTTTTACTATTACTGTTATTTGAATTAATATTTTATTATAATCACTATTATTTTTTTTACTTTTATTAACATTAATATTGTTACTTTTACTTCTAAACATTTTAAATATATTATTATTACGAGGTCTGGTCGCTTACGAGGGCCTCGACTCAGAAGATACAATCCTTTGTAAATAGAAGCCTGCGGCGTATTCTGAACATATTGTGGCCTGCAAGAGTCTCCAACGAAGTGCTATGGCAGCGTACCAAACAAAAGCCAATAGAGAAAGAAATTTTGAGACGCAAATATGGCTGGCTCGGCCACACACTTAGAAAACCGACAGATGCAATTGCCCACGCAGTCATGGAATGGAACCCGCAAGGAGTAAGGAGACGAGGTCGTCCCAAAACCACCTGGCGAAGAACAGTGGCAGCAGAAACAAGCAAATCCTTTAACCAGTTACGTTTTACTGCCAGAAACAGAGAGGAATGGAAGAAGTTTATAAATATTATTTGTGAATAGACTAAGTTCTAATTTTTAAATTTTTAATTTAATTTTTATAATGAAGAACATGTCTTAATAATATAATAATAATTATTAATTTATGAAATTATTAAATTATTTATATTATGTTGAAGCTATTTGAGCCAGTGCCCTTAGCACTTTCACTCTTTCTTAACTCGAGGAATTTTCAAAACCCCTCTTTCCGGCTTGATTGGATTATTGTTTATCACTTCATCAGGCTAAACAATAATTGACCTCAGATCTACCTCCCCGAGGAGCCTGTAACCATTCTGAGATTTGATAACGCGGTGTTGGTAAGTCTGTCAGTTTTCGTAAATAATTTCAGGGCTCTATCTTTTATGTTATTTTTGATGGGATCAATTTATGTGAATTATTGAATTATTTATTATTAATTAAATTGGTTTAAAATTTTATCCTTAAATTATTGAATTTATATAGAAATATATAAAAATATGTGATGTATGTATTTATATATAAGGATATATATTTATAATATATATTTATAATATATATTTATTTAAAGAATTTTTTATTATTAAACTTATATAAAAATAAGTGAGACATGTATATATTAATACATGTATTGAAAAAAATATGTACTATATAATAATGTATGAAATACTCGTATTTATTACTTTCCGAATCATGAACTAGTGGAAATGCTAGTGCCGAAGTGCATCGTACCGGGACAACTGACACTGCCAATGAGAACTCGGTGTGGAATTCACTAGTTGAGGTAGAATGGGCGAAAATAGCAGATTATGTAAAAAATTGTATAGCATAACGGTCTTATTTAATATCAGAATATAATAATTAATATATATTTTATAGCTCATCTATTATTTATAACGTGTATATACCTATATTAGTTTACCATTATACTCACTATTATATAACTATTTATAGGACTACAATTCTACTATAAGTGAACGGACGACATGTGTCAAAGTCGCTATTTTGAGTCGAGAAACTGAAGAATTGTTTGACTTGATCCGGATTTAATTATGTGATATAAACATATTAAAATGGTTTGTTTCAATATCTTCAATATCCAGAAAATAAGTCAATCTCCAGCTTTCTTCACTTTCTTTACGATATATAAAATGTCATACTGATATTTTGAAAACAATTACTAATAAATTTAATTACTTAACGAGAGTACTACATGATAGGATCACGATAGTATTACTAATGCAGTTAGTGCAGCCATCAACAAACCTCATATCTATTCAAAAACGCACCGCGGTCTCAAAAGCAAGATAGGAATTACCACATGCAGTAACTCATATTTACACGATTACACGAAGTCAACCGAGAAAGTCTATTGATACACTTTACTGAACCTCACTCGTCTATTAATCAATAGTTAAGGAATAATTTTTTTTTAAGTAAAACACACACCTTGAAGTGATCCCGAATACATAAAATTGAATAAGATTTTAGTTTAAAGAGAACGTCAAGAGCTGGGTAAACTTACAAAAAAAAATATATACTATTGAAATATTTGAATGGTGAGCATTTCTCTAAATTTTCAAGAAAGCAGGAAATATATTTTTGAGACTCGAAAAAAATTAACTTTATCTACAGAAAATCAATGCATCTTTATTTATAAGAAGTAGTTTATAATGATAATTTTTGCACTAAAATGTCCCTATTGATATTTTGTTATTTGGGATTTGATATTACTATTATGCTCCAGCTTCTTTACTTTCAATTCTATTAAGATTGTTATAGAAGAATACATGAGCTTTAAAATTCCACTTAAGTATTTTCTTTTATTTAAAAAAATAAATTTCTACTTTCTTATGTAATTAACCTGAATAGATTTTGTTAGTCCCGCTCAGTAGCCTTCGCTAGCCAAGCGAAAACTGTAAGTTTTGAATTCTTATTTGTGGTAGTATTATAAATTCTTCGTAGGGTTACTTATTATGATCGTACTAGTACCCCGTTTTCCCTGTTTATGGAAGCGTAAGAGAAATAAGAGATAATATATAATTTTTTCTAGTTAGACATTCATTCCTTTAAAAATAAATAAAAAAGAAATTCAACATAAATTGATTTTATTAACTTAGTTTGATTTGGTTTTTTTGTCCGAATATTGAATAGAAATTTTGAATTTTAGCGAAAAAATTAAAAACGTTTAATAAAAAATATAACGATATAAGTCGTTGTGTATTCAATATTTGTAGTAGTGAACTACAAATATTAGTAAAGAAGACGTCCTTTATCGTCTTGTGTCTCACTCTTCAGATTTTCTGTAGGAGCTCCTGTATCTCCACCGTCCTTAATTTCATATTTACCGCGCCGATCAGTTTTAGTTTTACCGTCACAAGATTTCTTTTCGACCTTGTCGGATGGATGCTGAGAGCAAGATGACTTTTTCACAGTATCTCCAAACACACACGTTTCATTCGAAATTACCACTTTACCATTTTGTTTAAATTTTGAGGAACCACGTTGAATTATTGCCCCACGCTTCGTAGAATTATTATATGAGCAAACAGGTAAATTTGTCTTTCCTTCGTTCTTACGTTGGATAACATTTTTTATTTTAATGTTAGACTTTTGCGCCTTTGCGCGAATTGCATCAATATGACAACGGCGTCTTTCCTCAGCAGTTGACATTTTCTGATTAATTACAGAAAGCGTAGAAAGTTTAGTATCAGATGGTATCGAACATTTCCGCACATTTGGAACTGATGTGGCTTCAGCGATGATAATCTCAAAACCAACTCCATCTTTACCCGTTTGTTCATGACGCACCTCTAAGTTTTCAACTGATTCTTCAGATTTTTGTGATGATGTAGGAAAGAATGTTTTGTTTTCAATTGTGTTCATTTCAGACCTAACTGCATGTCTACCAGTTTGTTCATCACGAACCTTTAAGTTCTCGACTGATTCTTTAGATTTTTGTGATGATGTATGCCTACTTGACTTCAGTGCCTTAGCACGAACTTCATCAGTATGGTTCCGACGTCTGTCTTTACCCAGATTAACTGCTGTCTTTATCTGATTAAGTGCTGAAATCTTAGAAAGTTTTTTATCGGATTGTAACGAACTTTTCCGTACGTTTGGAACTGATGCGGCTTCAGCGATGATAATCTCAAAACCAACTCCATCTTTACCTGTTTGTTCATGACGTACCTCTAAGTTTTCAACTGATTCTTTAGATTTTTGTGATGATGTAGGAAAGGATGTTTTGTTTTCAATTGTGTTCATCTCAGAACTAACAGCATGTTTACCAGTTTGTTTATGACGAATCTCTAAGTTCTCGACTGATTCTTTAGATTTTTGTGAAGATGTATTCCTACTTGACTTCAGTGTCTTAGCACGAACTTCATCAATATGGCTCCGACGTCTGTCTTTACCCAGATTAACGGCTGTCTTTATCTGATTAAGTGCTGAAATCCTAGAAAGTTTCTTATCGGATTGTAACAAACTTTTTCGTACGTTTGGAACTGATGCGGCTTCAGCGACGATAATCTCAAAACCAATTCCATCTTTACCCGTTTGTTCATGACGCACCTCTAAGTTTTCAACTGATTCTTCAGATTTTTGTGATGATGTAGGAAGGGATGTTTTGAGTTCAGTTGTGTTCATCTTAAAACCAACTCCATGTCTACCAGTTTGTTCATGACGAACCTTTAAGTTCTCGGCTGATTCTTTAGATTTTTGTGATGATGTATGCCTACTTGACTTCAGTGTCTTAGCACGAACTTCTTCAATATGACAACGACGTCGATCTGCAACAGTAGACATTTTCTGATTGATTACAGCCTTAGAAAGTTTAGTGTCAGATGGTATCGAATATTTCCGCTCATTTGGAACTGATGTGGCTTCAGCGATAATAATCTCAAAACCAACTCCATCTTTACCCGTTTGTTCATGACGCACCTCTAAGTTTTCAACTGATTCTTCAGATTTTTGTGATGATGTAGGAAGGGATGTTTTGGGTTCAGTTGTGTTCATCTCAAAACCAACTCCATGTCTACCAGTTTGTTCATGACAAATCTCTAAGTTCTCAACTGATTCTTTAGATTTTTGTGATGATGTATTCATGTTTGACTTCTGCGTATTTGCGCGAATTTCATCAACATGGCAACGACGTCGATCTGCAACTGTAGACATTTTCTGATTGATTACAGCCGTGGAAAGTTTCTTATCAGATTGTATCGAACTTTTCCGTACTTTTGGAACTGATGTGGCTTCTGCAATTATAATCTCAAAGCTCACACCACTTTTACCGGTTTGTTCATGACAAACCTCTACGTTCTGAGCTAATTCTTCAGATTTTTTTGATGATGTAGGAAGGGACGTTTTGGGTTCAGTTTTGTTCATCTCAAAACCAACTCCTTCTTTACCCGTTTGTTCATGACGCACCTCTAAGTTCCCAACTAATTTTTGAGATTCTTGTGATGATGTGTTCTTATTTAACTTCTGCGTCTTTGCGCGAATTTCATCAATATGGCAACGGCGTCGATCTGCAACAGTAGACATTTTCTGATTGGTTACAGCCTTGGAAAGTTTAGTATCAGATGGTATCGAACATTTCCGCACATTTGGAACTGATGTGGCTTCAGCGATGACAAGCTCGAAACTAGTACCACTTTTTCCACTTTGTTCATGACGAACCTCTAAGCTCTCAACTATTTCTTCAGATTTTTGTGATGATGTATTCATATGTGGCATCTGCAGCTTTGCGCGAATTTCATCAATATGGCAGCGGCGTCGATCTGCAACAGTAGACATTTTCTGATTGATTACAGCCGTGGAAAGTTTCTTATCAGATTGTATCGAATTTTTCCGTACATTGCGAGCTGATGTGGCTTCAGCGATGATAATCTCAAAAGCAACTCCATGTCTACCAGTTTGTTCATGACGAATGTCTAAATTTGCAACTAATTCTTCAGATTTTTGTGTTGATGTGGGAAGGGATGTTATGGATTCCGATGTGATTAACTCTAAACCAACATCACCTTTTTTAGCCATTTCGTTATAAACTTGTGAAATTTCAACCAGTTTTTTGGATTCTTCTGATAATGTGGGAGTGATTATTTCGATATCAGTCTCAAAACCAATTTCACATTTATCAAAATTTTCATTACGATCTTCTAAAATCTCAACTGGAGCTTTAGAGTTTTGTAGTGATGCAGGAGGAGATGTATTTGTCTTTTCGTTGATAACCTTAACATCAATCTCTACCAGTTGTTCAGATTTTTGTAGTGATATAGGATAAATTGTTGCGTTCTCTGTTGGTATAGCATTATCGCTCTTCATGCAAGAAATTTGTGCTTCATTTGCGCAGATATCAAGTTTTTCCATGATTTTTGAATGTAATAAAATTGAGAATGTTGACAAATGCTAAAAAAAAATTAGATTAATAGTTATATATTTATAATTAATATATGTAAGTTCTATTTATAATACTATGTTGTGAATAATATGTTCAAAATACAGTGTATTTTGGTATACACTGTCCGACGGTTCGAACAATAAATTATACTTTAATATTTATAGGAGATGAATTCAACACTACCTGAGGTTATGGGGATACAACATTTCAGTTTTGTATTACAAGTGAAACATATGTCAACTTTTGACATTAATATACAAAAAAAACGCTCTCAATGCTTTTTGGTCGAACATTGTTTAACGGAGTCACTAAGTCACATGATAGTCCAAGCATTACGACGGATCAAATTCTTATTATTTATATATCAGTAGTATGATATTTAATGGAGCGTTCGAGCAATAAAAATCAAGCAGCGTTCTGGACCGAAAAATATTACAAGCACAACGTTTACTGTGTTAAAGTTCCCAATGTTTAAGGACGGCTTAGTTCCTGAATTACTAAGAAGTGGCTGAAATTGTCCCATTTATTTCAACAGAAATAAACGTCTTGGTATCAGAACTCTTCGTAGATTAGTTAATATGCAATCGTTAGTATACACATATAGTTGCAAAAATCGCATTAGGAAGCCGTAAAAATATTCTGGGTTTAACAACTCTATTTGAATACGAATTTTTATCTATTGAAATTGTTCAAGTAATCATCAAAAGATTTTAGCACAATCGCATAATATTTAAAGATCCTAAGTATTCTCTAGCGTTTTAGCTTTTAAGCAATCGCACAATCATATAATATATGTTCATTTCACTTTAGGTTGGCTTTATAAATAATTGTCATATTCTTTATTTTATTTATTTATTACTTGTATTATTTATTTATTTATGTATTTTAATTATATGAAGTGATTCAATCATATTTCTATATATTTCTATATAAAAGTAACATTTGAATGTAATATTTATAAATATTCTGTGACATATTTGGGACTATAAAAATTTTAATGTTGAAATAATGGCATACATCAAATTTTAACAAAATTTTTCTTCTGTTCTTAACAAAACGGAAGAAATTTGAAGATCACCACTAGAAAATCTTCTCAAATTCCAAGATTGCGTTAACGTTTACTTAAAAAACTCTATTGGATGCAGAATGTTACTATTCTTTCCAAAAATTAATACTTTTTCAAATAACATCTCTTCTCAATTTAAGCTCTTCGAAGGTACCAACTCTGCAATCTTATCAACGGAATTTGGATTAATTCACTTTAGGTGGAATGGGATGGAATGGAAACTGAAATAAGTTTAAAATGACAGAACTAAATGAACTTAATGAACTGAGTTTGTCAAGTCCAAGATCAAGATTTGAGAGATCTTCGACTTTTCATCTTTGATATTTCATGGGTTACAAGAATTTCAATATACCTTTTATACCTTTCTTACACCTTTTTGTACAAAGTGTATAACAACAAAATTCATATGACGGGAATAGTCATTAAAGTAATCACAGCCGGTCCCTGTATTCCACAGCCGAATTTCGGTTTAACATTGGAAAAGAACTGCAATTTTCAAAAAAAAATATTTATATAAGAAAAGCTATAGTAGTAAAAATATATATATTAATGAGAGACTTAATGGAGGACTTTTCCAAAATATTATTGCAATATGAAGCAAAAATTTTGCAGATATGTCCTTACACTCGTACCAGAGAACAATATATGAAAGGAAGAAAACCTAACAACGGCTTTTGGTTTATTGACACCGGCAAAAAAAAGTAATACTTGTCACGAACAATGAATGCAACAACAAAAACAGGTAGAGAATTTTCATCACGGATGCAGCTTGAATACAAACAAGGGATCGATTAAAGGAAAAAATCCTGTAAAAGTTCCTGTTTACAATTTGTCTGTGTTTTAGGGCGTTCAAATATCAAATATTCGTTGATTTGGTAATCATATGAATTCTACAGAAGTGAACTCTTTTCGTTTTGTTTAGCCTGATGCAGTGTTTGTCGGATGCTGCACCAAGAGAAAACGCAACAGATTGAGTTCAGCTCGCAGCAGGATAATGACGAGTGTATTAAACTTTACTTTACTTGTGAAAACTTTGTAAATTTGTCAATTCGGTAGTGACTATCAAAACAGGTGGTCTGGTCATTGTGTTAAGCTTAAATGTGAAAGACCGTAATGGTGATGATACTGGATACTCTACAGTTGGTTAGTACATAAGCTATCTCTTTTAATGCTTTCATATAACCAGTGATATGTTTGTAATTATGTATGTTGGAAGGATATAATAATTGATAATTGAAAGGGAGACGAAATAATTACATATTATTGAAATAAACAACTAAGAATATAATAAAAATATAACTTAATATTTCAATTTTATGAAATAGTTTTGAATATAATAAACAAACTTAGAGTATTAATAGTATAGCTATTTCCAATTATAACTACCAAGATGAGTCAGCTCATCTGTAGCAATAACGTATCAAAAATAATATAAGCTGAAAGCGCCTCATCTATTATAAATTTTGTAAAACCTTATAGTATGAGAGTACAAATTACAATATTTAGTTGTATTAAGTTATGCCAAATTCCAACGCTAATTAGACTGACCCATACAACAATCAAAATCATGAAATTCTTTTACTACTTAGACTACTTTATTCCAAGAAACTGGGGGAAAGTGGATTCAAAAATTATTAAAAATCACTTAAATTGTGGATTTATTTCTACACCAACATAACTTCATTTATAAATGTTAATTTTGTATATAGTCTTCTCAACTGAATATAAGACTACATATAATCTATAAAATAATAACATATTAGAAATAATAAACTATCTCTGTCTCTGCTTAAGTAGTTACTTTTCAATTAGTCGAAATAAGAAAAAAAGACCATCAATTAAAATATAGTATCATTCCATCAAAATTTACTGGTAATGATTACATAGATTAAATAAAAACACCAATGACATAGTTCCTCTGAAAAAAATATTCTTTCGTCTTCCACTCACAACAACAGTTCTATGTATTTTTTGTAAATATATATAAGAACCAAAGAAATAAAACAAACAGACAAAGAATCACGTTAACTAAGAGACTATTTAAAAACTAAAGTAATAATGTTGAAAGTAGAAACTCAATCTCTCTATATTCTCTATGAACAACCAGATTTGGCCCCCAGAAGAAAAAGGCTTTTAAGAAAGCACTCTCTCGACAGTTTATTAGACCTTTTAACGACAAGAATAAAATTTTTGTTAAATTATCTAAATTCAACAAAAAAGATTTACTTCTTATGTTCTTTTTATATTTTAATGAGGAATCTGTTAGTAAAACGACGTAAAATCTTGAGTTCTGTATAGCGGAAAAATATCTGCTGACTTGCCATAGCAACCAACCAACAATTGCTTCCGGAAGAGGTTATTAGGCTGTTAGACTAGATTATAAAAGGCTATTAAAAGACTAAGTAGCGATCGTTGGCTTGAAATTGAACAGCTCGTCAATATGTAATTAATAACGAAAGCATTATATACTGGAATTATCAGCATTAAAACAGGTGGGACTTAATCAAACCAAACACATGCATTACAAGAATATTGAATCTTAGAATGGTTACAGGCTCCTCGGGGAGGTTTGCAGATCTAAGGGCAATTATTGCTTAGTCTGATGAATTGACAAACATTAATCCAGTCAAGGCGTAAAGAGGGGTATTGAAGATACCTTGAGTTAATAAAGAGTAAAAGTGCTCAAATGCAAGAATATCAACATTGGAACGAAATAGAGTTAAGTTTATGTAATTGAGACCGGATTTAAAAATGAACCAAACCAATAAATTCGGGGAGTTTTTATTTTATATCGAGAATTATATAATAATTTATAAAATGATAAGTAATTTTAAGAATAAATAGTGTAAAATTAATGATATTTTAATTAATATATACAATTCAATACAATATTTTAATACTCACTAATATGTCTTTTCTTTTTCCTTTAATAATTTGGACCAAGTTCAATAGTCAGCAGATTTTCGTAGTCCAGTTGTCTATTGAATACAACTTTTCTAAAACAAAAAAAAATTTGCTTCACTTGATTTAACAATTTTTTTATGTAGATATTGACAGAAAAATACATGACAACTTTTATATTTGTATATTATTTTTTATAAATAAATATGTATTTACATAAGTATATTTGTTATTATGCATAGTACATAAATGCGTTTATATGCAAAATGGAGATAAGAAACAATTGGAGTATCAAAAAATTCGTGTTTACACAGCAGCTTACACCCTACATAAATTTACCAAAACTACGTCCAATTATCTATTTAAATCCCATGTTTCTCTTCGACGTTACCGAATGGAATGTCCATTAATGTTGGACTCAAAAAAAATTGTGCCCATTGCCATATCGCCAAAATTTATATCTTTTAACACAAGAAGATATAAAAAAAATAGAGTAGAACACTAGAATTTTGCTCAATCCTAAAATGAATTGAAAGATTCATATAAATATCGTGACATCGGGTATCCATGATAGACAATTATTATTTTTTCTTTTAGAACTTTTAGTCGTTCATTCGAGTTAAAAATATACATATCGTTAGTAGTGGAAAATTTTTTATAATTAATTTGACCACCTTCAATAGGCTGGAAGTTTTCGTGGTCTAAAGAAAAAAGTGAATTTCATTTGATTTAATAATGTTTTTATATAGATTATAAAAAGAAACCACCGAAAAATAGGTGTTCATCTCTAGGTGATTACTTTTTAATGAAATTGAACAGAAGGCAAAATCTTGAAGTCGCAATTTTAGGTTAAGATTGCACATTTTGGTAATAGCCGGCAATTTCTTGTTACAATATACGTGTACCGGCACCATCTAGTGACAAAAAACTGCACTTACTCTTTATATTATTTAATAATTACTCGTATGACGCGAATATAAGGGGAAATGAGTATGACCAAACACTAGAATATTTATTTTAAAGGGAATAATAATAAAAATATTATTAATAAGGGAATAATAATAAAAAAAAAGTATTAAATAGGACTAAAATTAAGCGGTTCGTTAATTATGCAATGCTTTAACACTTACTTACTGGTCCTTACTTTTTTTTACCGATTTTTTAATTCTCAACGCTTCAAATCTAGGCGTAGGTCTTTATTCTGGAATCCTTATCAAGTGTAATAATTTCAGAATGAAATTTTTGGTTTGAAATTACAAAATTGTTTAGATGTTTACTACTCGAAACACCTTTTTAAATAAAAAAAAAAAACATTTTATTTCTTCACATAACTTTTTAAATAAATATTGACAATAAAATCTATGAAACCCGTTATTTTGAAATATTTTTAAATTAATATATTATTATATACAGTATTCAACGTCTATGATTCCATCGGTATGTTCTTCGCTTTTATATTAATCAGAAATCGGCTTCAGTGTTTCTGTAAGTGGTTATGGTTCACAAATTTCTTCCCCCACTAGTCTTATATTTTCATCATTCTCGATTAGAGTTGTTGTATCCATTCCAATGGTATCATTGCATAAAAAAATGTCATCGTCAGATTTATAAGATGGAGTAACGGTGATTTTATGCATATGCTTAGAAGATGTTACATTGCCATTGGCTTCTATATCTACACCGATTTCGTTATGTTCATTTTCATCTGCAAAAAAAAGACAATTTTTAGAAATATGTATTTTAATATTTCATCAATTCACTGTCTTAAGAAGTCACGGAAAAAACTAAGTTACTAATTTTCAATTTTAATATCTTTTTCTTAAATTTTTGAATTAACATTAGAATAATCATCATTACCAAGATTATCTATATCGTCGCCTCCATTGAACATCTGGTCTTGTTGAACATCAGGCTTTGCGATTTTATTCTTATCTATAAAATATTTTATTAAAACACATCTTGGAAAACAAAGTTCCTTTCTTCGTATAATTACCATTTAGAGATAGAATCTTTAAGAAAGATAGTTTCAATTTTTTCTGCTCTTTTTTGATTCGTTTAATTTTCTTTAAAATACTTTTCCTTTTTTCTCTTTTGGAAACCCCAACTTCATCGGTTAAATTCAAATCTACTTCAAAATCTGTTTTGAGACAGTTCTCTTTACCTATGTGTGTGAAATTTTTTGTTCAAATTTAATTAATTTCTCTTTAAATAAATATTACGTACCCATATATTCTTCATCAATTCGATTGGTTTTATCATCTAAAAATCTTAACATGGAACGAGCTTCATCCAACGCAGTTTGTGCTATCGGTTCTATTTGAACACTCCTATCCTGGGTGAATGTTTCAATATTTTTCTCTATCGGCATTAATTCTGGCGGATCATTAATAGGACTTATTAAACGAATAACTTTAAAGGACTCCTTGTAAGCAAGTACTTGCTCAAAACGATCAGGAAACTGAACACCCACATCATTCGATTGATCCAAATCACGTGTGGTGGTACCTCTTGTTGTACACATTTGTTCAACACTATCTAGTTCATTACGCAAATAACGTATTTCATTGCCCTTCTCATTTATATCTCTTTCGTCCTCCATATTTTATGTACTTCGCAGTAAAGCTAAACAAAAATAATAATAGTAATGTATTAAGGACACTTCACTATATTTTAAATTAGTTTAATTTCACAAATTTCTCTACAAACTTTTTTCAATATGGACACGAGTACCGCTATAATAAAATTTGCAGATTAATTGACACGTCACATACAATTGACGAGGTAGTACCGATGGTGTAGAAAGCAGGGTTGTTATTAAAAAACATTTAAAGAAATGATATCTTAAAAAACATGAACTGAAAAAAGTGCATAGCACATATAGAATAGATTCCACAAACTTATATAAAAAATATAATCTGTATTTAAAAAAAATCTATTTTATATTTTTTAATTTCAAATAAAATATTATAGTGATGTGATGTTAGACTCATACTAACTTTTATAGACGCTAATTTCTACAATAAACGTCTTATTTAAGCACGATATATGTGTATGGATTTCTCATTATTTCTTATTCAGTTCATTAAAATAAAATGAATATATCCTTCATATATATCTAATGTATTAAAATAATTTAAAATTCATACAATATTTCATATATATTCTTTTGACGACTACATGTTAATACGCAATCACAAATGTAGAAAATATTTTGGTTATTCACCACACCAGTGTCATCAAATAACATACGTTCCATGATTGTATCAGCTGATATAAGATTTCTCCCATATTTACGACAAGAAACCAAAATTCAATAGCTCCTTACGTTTCTTCACGTGACTTCAATTTCTTATTTGAATTTCATCAAGAATAATCGAATTCATTGGTATCCAGTAAATAGAACGGGTCAGGTGAGAATAGGTCATATGGGAATTTTGTTTATAATTTTAGCTGTCAAAAATTTTTATTTTGCATAAAATAAGACTTCAGACAACACGTATAAGCAGTTTTCTGGAAAAAATTAGATTTCTATTAAAGTCTAAAATACAAGCTATGTTTGTTACAGAAGACATAAGTACATGTTATACTTATATATACTTATGTATATTGCCCGTTTGAAAATTATTATCAGTTCGGTAAAAATTGTAAATATTTAACATATGCATAGAAAGTTTTTCTCCCTCTACGAAAATCAACAAATAGCGTAATTTATCAAGATATGGGTCTGAAGTTAATGTTAAGGTGTACTCTATATACAATTATATTTGGAATATTTTTATAAAATAATCAACATATATGGAAACCGATTATTCAGCATAATCGAAAAATATATTCCCAAAAATAAATTTCAATGTGAATTATTAGCAGTCGATTACAGTAAAGACATCAACATATTCTTAGTGAGAGAGATACTTGAAAATCCCAACGTAACGAACAAAAGATCCAAAAGTGTGAATTACTGACCTGCTATAGGTCAGTAATTTGAATAATAACCACATGTGTGATTTACATCTGGCGATATTAGACTCAGCAATAAGCTATGTGATTCTATTCTACCATGTTTGGAACCATGTTCAGAAAACAAGCACGACAAAGCTGCCATATCGTTATCATTCTAATCAAGAACCAATGCCACAATGTTGAACTACACGTAGCGCACTATGAGAGAATAACATGAATTTCATTCACTAATGACCCACTGTTCACTGCTTCATGAAGATACTATATTGGTAAGAGTGAAACATGTTCATCTGAATATTATATTTTGCTGAATGGAACAAAGAAATAATATATTATGACCTAAGTTAATGAGGTCTGGCAAATTAAACGTTATATCCATCTTCATGAACTATAATGACTGTTAGCATTTCTTGTTTCTTTGTTCCGAAATTTTTATTTCTTCCGTTTATTTTACGGGCATACAACTTCAATTTCGTTTATCAAAATTCAAGAAAAATCATTGTCATATATTAATTCTCCACGATTTGTTCGATATAATTTCTAGTATCCAGTATAATTAAAAATTCCACTATTTAAATATTTATTTCAACAAAAAAATTAGAAGAAAAACACTTGATTTCATTAACAGCTTCTTTAATACGTATCAGAAAAAAAACGAGAATATTAAATAAAATTAATCAATTATAAACAAAAAGTAAAACTAGAAACTTCTAAAATATAACGATATTAGTTCTAGTAATATCCGCAGCTTACTACAGATATTAATAAAGGCAATGTGCTTCAACATCTTGTGGAACACCTTCCAAACGTTTTGTGATTGCTCCAGTTTCATCAGTTTCACCACGACTCTTGACTTCAGATTCACAAGAGTGATAAGCTTTAGTATTACCCTCATAGAATTTCTTTCCAACAGCGTCACACGGATGCCCAAAATAAGGTGACATCTTAACAGCACCACCAGGAACACACATTTCATTAGAATTTGATAAATCTCCTTTTCGATCCGATTTTGATACATCACATTCGAATATGGAATAACTCTGTATATCCTGCGATTGCTCCCTCTTGTATGACTGCATCACGTCCTCCAGAAGCTGCACCTTCGTATTCTGTTGCTCTGTTTGAGCATCCGAACGCAACTTTCGCAAGTAATTTCTTAAGTAATAACTGCGCCTATCAGCGCATTCCTTGAGACGAGTGGTGGAGTTATAACGTGAACGATCAAGAAAGTTGGACTTCATTTCAGCTTTGCGTTTAATAGCCAATTCTGCTTTCTGTATAACTTTTGTAGCCCTCGCACGAATAACTTCAATATAACAGCAGCGTCTTTTCTCAGCAGTTGACAATTTTTGCTGAATTTCTTTAGCAGAAAGTTGCTTACCGGATTGCAGCAAACGTTGCGATGTATGTGGAAGTGTTGTGGCTTCAGCAATTATTATTTCAAAACTTATTCCACTTTTACCAACCTGTTCATGACGAACTTCTAACACCTCAACTGGTTCTTCAGATTTTTGTGGTAATGTAGAAGGTGAAATTATCGCCTCAGCTCTTTGGACCTCACCGTTGTCCTTATAAGCAATCTGTTCTTCTACAATGGAAAGAACTTGTTGTTCCATTATTTCTGATATGCCTCCTTAGTTATTTTCTAAAGTATTTACACGATTTGGAAGTTTTAGGAATCGTTACCAAACGCAAGTGCTGAAAAAAATTTTTTAAATAAAAAATTGTAGTTTATATTTAAATAAAAAATTTTACTTGTTTTTCTACGCCTACTAAATATGTACAATTTTTTATGATTTGTCGAGTATATGAAATAAAATTCTATATTATAACAATATACAGGGTGTTTATATATGTAAGAGATGAATCTTTGTTCCACGAAATATGTAATTTCTCAGATTTAGTATTTTGTTTAAGCTTAACAACATCAACGCAAGAAATTGTACTAATTCTAATCTCTCTATCTCTTCTACCACAGAAAATGGAGAAATGGATCTACAATTTGAACCTGACATGTTTTTTTGACCGAACGTGAAAAAGCCTTTATGCGGTAATCTCTCAAATACAGACCGAAAGCTCTTTTTTATTAATTAATATCAATTAAAATATTATTGTGTAAATATTTTGTCCACCAGTCCTTACATATATGACAATCCTAACTCCATAAATAGACAACAGCGCTCACCGAAGAAGTGACTAAAACGACTTAAATTGCTCCATTAAAACAACATCAAACATAAATGCAACACGAAAAGGAATTAAATAAGTTCCAATTATTTACATTTTTTTATCCCTAACATCGATAACAACTTCACTTGATATCTATTTATCTCAAATATATCAAAAGCACAACACAGTCCTTCAGTGAAAAATTTTATCATGGCAAAATCTATTTAAAATCCCCATATCGGAAAGATACTTTCTCCTACGAAATTTTTTATATATTTGGAAAATAGATTGTATAACGCATTGTATAATGATAAGGCAGAAAAGTTATCCATGAAAATACTTTCTGGAAGAGTTTATCTTCCACCTTTCCCTAATGGTAACAGATCTACGCATACAACATCACTTAATACAAGAGCTCAACTGAGAAACATACTCGTACTATTTTAACTTGAAAAACTATAATAATAGTGAAGGCAGTATGAACCTTCAACGTTAAAAAATTTCTATGTCAGGGACAATAATGCATAGACATAAATTTTTTTTGCCAGACCTGTTGTTTCACCAGGACTGGATTACGGATACTATTTAAAAACAAAAACACATCATCTAGTTCAAGATGCAATTCTTTAGAATTTCGTTGGTAGCGGATGTATCTTTGGTATTTACTCACGTCACAAGTCCTTATTAAATAACACTCTATACTTAATAAGTCTCTTCAAAGGTTTTACATATTATATTATATTAGATGTAAACATTGCAAATTGTAAGATAAAGTTAGTCATAAAAATTCTCGGGATGTGCAATGAACTATCAAATATAACAATTAATATCGTACGAAACAAGTACAAGCTTTAACACTTACTTACTGGTCCTTACTTTTTTTACCGATTTTCTTATTCTTCAACTCTACAGATCTGGATGTAGATCTTTGTTCTGGAATCCTTATCAAGTGTAATAATTTCAGAATGAAATTTTTGGTTTGAAATTACAAAATTGTTTAGATGTTTACTACTCGAAACACCTTTTTAAATAAAAAAAAAAAACATTTTATTTCTTCACATAACTTTTTAAATAAATATTGACAATAAAATCTATGAAACCCGTTATTTTGAAACATTTTTAAATTATATATATAGTGAATATGTATGTTCCACCACTCTTGTGCATTTTATTCAACGTCTATGATTCCATCGGTATGTTCTTCGCTTTTATATTAATCAGAAATCGGCTTCAGTGTTTCTGTAAGTGGTGGTGCTTCACAAATTTCTTCCCCCACTAGACTTATATTTTCATCATTCTCAATTAGAGTGGTATCATTACATACAAAAACGTCATCTTCAGATTTATAAGACGGAGTAACGGCGATTTTATGCATATGCTTAGAAGATGTTACATTGCCGTTAGTTTCTAAATCTACACCGATTTCGTTATGTTCATTTTCATCTACAAAAAAAAGACAATTTTTAGAAATATGTATTTTAATATTTCATCAATTCACTGTCTTAAGAAGTCACGGAAACAACTAAGTTACTAATTTTCGATATTAATATCTTTTTCTTAAATTTTTGAATTAACATTAGAATAATCATCATTACCAAGATTATCTATATCGTCGCCTCCATTGAACATCTGGTCTTGTTGAGCATCAGGTGTTGCGATTTTATTCTTATCTATAAAACATTTTATTAAAACACATCTTTAAAAACAAAGTTCATTTTTTCGTATAATTACCATTTAGAGATAGAATCTTTAAGAAAGATAGTTTCAATTTTTTCTGCTCTTTTTTGATTCGTTTAATTTTCTTCAAAATACTTTTCCTTTTTTCTCTTTTGGAAACCCCAACTTCATCGGTTAAATTCAAATCTACTTCAAAATCTGTTTTGAGACAGTTCTCTTTACCTATGTGTGTGAAATTTTTTGTTCAAATTTAATTAATTTCTCTTTAAATAAATATTACGTACCCATATATTCTTCGTCAATTCGATTGGTTTCATCATCTAAAAATCTTAACATGGAACGAGCTTCATCCAGCGCAGTTTCTGCTATCGGTCCTATTTGAACACTCCTATCCTGAGTGCATGTTTCAAAATTTTTCTCTATCGGCATTAATTCTGGCGGATCATTAATAGGACTTATTAAACGAATAACTTTAAAGGACTCTTTGTAAGCAAGTACTTGCTCAAAACGATCAGGAAACTGAACACCCACATCATTCGATTGAACCGAATCACGTGTGGTGGTACCTCTTGTTGTACACATTGGTTCAACACTATCTAGTTCATTACGCAAATAACGTATTTCATTGCCCTTCTCATTTATATCTCTTTCGTCCTCCATATTTTATGTACTTCGCAGTAAAGCTAAACAAAAATAATAATAGTAATGTATTAAGGACACTTCACTATATTTTAAATTAGTTTAATTTCACAAATTTCTCTACAAACTTTTTTCAATATGGACACGAGTACCGCTATAATAAAATTTGCAGATTAATTGACACGTCACATACAATTGACGAGGTAGTACCGATGGTGTAGAAAGCAGGGTTGTTATTAAAAAACATTTAAAGAAATGATATCTTAAAGAACATGAACTGAAAAAAGTGCATAGCACATATAAAATAGAAAAATATTTGAATTGATGTGGAGAATTAAGAAATCTGATGCGTATACAAATTATACGAAAAATTAAAATCTTCAAATGCTAACGCCTTTAAAAAATGCTTATTATCACAAAAATTTAGAACTTTTACAAACTTGTGATTAAATATATCCAATGAACAATTAATTAAACTGTTAAAGTTATAGTTCTAAATTAGTGTAATTTTAAGTTTTCTAAGTAGTTTTAATCATAGAATAGAATAAGAGAAAAATGCTCAAGAATTAGAATCTATTATTTCAATGTTTCAAGACGTATGTAAAAATTTTGTAAAAGAAAATTTCCATTTGTCGCATGAGTGTTTTATTTCAACTCCGAAAAAGATACTATCAACATTCTAAAAGTTCATGAAACTTCATTAAAATACTTAATTTTATAATAATAATTAAATAAATGATTTGTTACCTAAAAAATAAACACAGTTAACAGTGTTGACGCAAATCTATAATCTAGACTGCTATAAAAACATATGTTACAAAATCAACATATATCTGATATAATATTATATATCGAGCAATAAAATAGCTGTACTTTAAAAATTGAAATTTCTTAAAAAACTTGAAATTTCCCGAATTTAGAAGCTTGACTTTACTACTATGTTCAGACACGCCTTAATTTCGCAAAAGTCTTAACTTCATCTTCGTTTCAGCGAAATTAAGTTAATTTTTTCCATACAAAATTTAGTTTTAGGGTTAGAACGAAATTAAGGAAAATGACCTTAATTTCGTTAAAACGAAGGCTGAAATTAAGGGAAATTTCAAATGTAACTATGCGTAAGATAAATTTTTAGTAAAAGATAAAGTTGAGATAACGAAAACGTTACATTTTATTTAAAATAAATGTCAGTGCCAGTAGAATTTCATAAAACCGGGAAAATATTTTGAAGTTGTGAAAATTTTTAAATTGGAATATAGAGAGAAAACTGTATATGTTATTAATTTAAAATAGAGTTGAAAAATAATAATTCACTAAAGCTAATAAAACTTCTGAATGCCATCCTTTATAGTTATACAAATCAACTTTTAAAATTTCCCAGATACAAATGGTGTTTGGAGCATGTAATTTTTAACATTCGATTTGTAAACAAAAAACATATGGTTTCCTTAATTTGGAGCAGTATGAACACCTGAGGCAATATTAACTTAATTTCCGAAACGATAATATGAACGTTTGAGGTTTGGGAATCAATTTTAGTAAAATTAATTCACTACAGTTTTTAATGTAAACATGGTTTTAGTAACGAAAGTAAATTCCTAATAATTCTCAAAATTTTAATAAACCAAGCAGTTCAGGTTTCAGATCCAAACCTTATTATCTCAAAATTACGTATTATCTCCTGATATATGATTTCTTATTTTTAAATTTTTGAAAATGTAAAGTATTAAGAAGGTAGTAGCATTTCGGGACTTATGTACTTGAAGGATTAAATAAACCATAATAAATAAATTATTTTGCTTACAATTAAACTTTGTTTTAGGATTTTACAGTTAGGAGTTTGGACCCTTAATGCTGACTCCAATATTTTAGTAGCCATGAGTTATTCAATTTCTTATAAATTCTGATTCGATATCGCTATATTATCACACCTGAATAATCAAATGTATTTATTATAAAATCAAGAAACAAAAGATTTTGTAATTAAACAAGCTAAAATATTTAATATATATAGTAACGAAATTAAAAAAATATGACTTTTTTTTTTTTTTTGACAGTAGATGAAAGCATCGAAAGCCACCGTGTGAGACTTGAACCCACTAAACCACCTCTTAGGAATGAATGGAGAAGATTTCCATAGCATTGTGAAAACTTCATTCCAGTAATCGGGGGAGAGGTGAAAAAAAAGTAAACTTAGTACTTAGTGAGCTAGATTTATTTAAGTCAGAAAGGAAGGACTTACATTAGGGCAACAATATAATGTCGATGTGTCCTTACCCCATAAATAGACAACCACGCTCACCGAAGAAGTGACTAAAACGACTCAAATTGCTCCACTGGAACGACAACAAACATAAATGCAACACGAACCTTAAAACCGAAAATATCATATCACGAACATAAACAGCACAAGTTGCAGACTTTATTCCAAACTCCTAACCAAACGCTTCAAACATGTTGTACCCAGTAAAGTGCCGGTTCATGCTGCATGCGACAGAGAAAGCCAACACAAACCCTACAATTTTATCAGCGAAATTCAAACTAAGTCACTAGTAGGGCAGTGGTAAGAATCAACAAAATTGTGAAGTAAAAAGGAACTGGTGTTTTGTTAAGTGTAGTTGAAAGCAAGTAAATTATTATGATAATTATTGAAAGTTAGTCAAGCAATTAGAAAAGTTAATCATAATATTTATCACTTCGAGATTTTTTAATGCAAAAGAAGGTTTCATTATTGCAGAAGAGATTTTGGTCACATATATTGTGGCTTTGAGATGAGTACAGACATGAGTACAAATATTACTGAAATAAAAATTTAAATTAATTTTTTAAATAATTTAATTTCCATTTCACTGTAGTATTTTTAGCAATGAAGTTGTTACTAATTAGAAAGCAATTGCTTGGATGGTAGCCGGCAACATATTGGAAATGAATATGTTTACATTATTTGACAGCTAAGTTGCTTTGGACTATACCTAGTTCAAATAATATCTAAGACGATTTTTAATTACTGCGTCAAATAATCTAAAACTAGATAGTTAAAATATCTAAATTTCTCTTTTCTGGGTTTCTAATTATAGGGTTATCACAAAAGTTCTCCCTAAGAATTTTTGTGATAACCACAAAAAGCCAATTATTATTTATGCACTATTATATCCTCACATAGATTCTATTAAAATACAATTAAAAATAGGAAACTTACTTCTCAAATTAGTTCGACACATCTTCATTTGTTTTAATCTCTTAAATTTGTTTCTTAAAATATTAAATACAATATTAAATTTTGAATGATGTCGTCTTTTCAAGCTAGTCGTCCCATCTTGTACTTTGAATCTTGTACTTTTTTTTGCAGTACTTGGAAAGCATCGACTGTCACTTATTATTAATAACTTATTATTAATTTGATCTAAGATCAAACTTTAATATTGAAGAAATCTTCCTACATCTTTATTTACTTCCACAATATTGCAGCATTTATTATTTAGATTATATGTCTTAAACTGAAAGTATATTGGCGTTATATTGTCAGCCAAACTTCAATAAATTAACTAAAATTTTTATTGTAATCTTTCATTTCTATTTGAACCTTTATAACTTTTAAATAGTTTTTTTTTCCTTCATAAGACACGTCCCTTTCGACAAAAAAAGAAGAAAGATCTGAACGCAAACTAATCTAAAACGAAGAGCAATCTGATGACATTCCAA